GGGGGGGGGGGAATTGCAGAGAGAAGTCACAAGAGCCGCATGTGAGTAGGTCACTGGAAAAGGTGAAAAGTTCTCTGCCCACAAAATAGAGAGTAGTATTGCTTATAATCTACTCTAGAAAAAGCTCTTTGTACACAGAAAAAGTGAATATATGGTGGAATAAAGGGACCAAGATAGAGATGCAGGAAAACGAAACACGAAGAACCTCAACCAAACCAAGGGGACTTCGAGCTTTGGAAATTAGTGTGTATCACAGCAAAGTGCACATGAAAGTGTTGAAGTCAAAAAACAAACGAAAAAAACACTATTAGTGTTTATGCGCGAAGGGTGAGCACAGGGATGAGGCACAAATATCTCGTGAAAATGCCACCAGAATATGGATGGATGAAAGAATAGTAATAATGAAAAGAATAACAGTAACAATAATCAGTTACCTGAAAGCCGACTACAAGAGGTGGGCTGGGCAAAAGGCTTAGGCCAGATGTCATTGCCCAACCACACTTCATTGTGAACTGGAAGTGGATGTCCTTCCGAATTGAAGACCCATCGATTCAAGGGGAATAGGGTATCTTCCGAGAAAATCAGATAAAGATATTTCAAAGTCTCCGCAATGAAAAATGATTGTTGCACGTCATCATGGCCAGACTCCGGGGAGTTCACGTCCTTCAATCCGGAATAACCACCAGCAGTTCTGGCGTACTTCTCGAGAGCCTTGAAGACAAAAAAGTGGAGCCAGTAAACCTGCGAGACATATGTGTAAACAGTAAAACAGCCCTTGAAAGAACGCGTCATAAGATCAATGGAAACTATTCGACAGCCTATAGCCGATTTCGTCCTTCTTGGAGCTCATTAGGCAGTTGACGTCAACTCTATGTTTCAGCGGTATACTTAACTGAATTCCAACGGAATCTTTCGTTTATGATATTCTTCGACTGCAGGTGCTACACAAATACACTCAACGAAGAATCCCATAAACGGGGCATCCAATTTGGATCAATTTGAGTGTGGCGTTAAGACTAAATTGCCGTGCAAACGCCGTCATAAATCCCCCGAGTGGAACAGAGTGCCGCTCCGAGTGTAACTCGAGAGGGTAAGGTTGATTAGCAAATAAAGGTCGAAGAAAAAAATCTTACCTAGTTAAAGACGCAAAGAAGTGAAGTGAATGAAGGCTTGGATACTGGATCACAAAGAATCATTCAATCCACTGTTTGAACCAAAGCGCATGCTCAAATATGTACTGTCTGTGCTGTCAGAAGAAAAAACATGCTAATCCAAGTGCTTACCTAAAACACATTGTATTAAATACAAGGAGTGCACGAAGCGACCAGAAACTCTGCTCATCAAATTGAAGCAACCTTGACTCAACCGGTACGCACAAAATCGACTTACCTGAACAACTTTCAGAGCCGCTATCCGATAGGCTTCGTCTTTTGTGAAGCGCCACAAATAGAAGTAAGACTCCACTGTTTCAGGTCGCAACAAGTAAGCTTTATGGCCAGATTTCAACGGTACGCCCTCCACACCAGAACCAAAAGTAAACGACTCGGGTCCAAGTTGAGTCACAGACGCGGCGTAAGTGTAGTTGCATGTTCGCGTAATTTCCACACCTCGCTGGAACCAGGGATCTTGCGGACCGGTTGCTCCGAGTACGAACATTCCACCTGTATCGAAAAAGATAGGAGCAACCAAAATGGATGAATCCAGAACAAAAGTCGTTTTCCTTCACATCAAATGGCGGCTTTGCTACAATAGAGCAGCATAATCGGAAAAAGTTGATCCCAAAAATATGCTATTACATAGAGGTGGTAAATAAAATGCTCGTCTATGATGAGAATACGGTTGTTTATAACACCATAAAAAGGGATTCAGATGGGTTTCGGGTGAGTCTCCCTCAAAATGGTATGCAAACGAGTGTATTACGCTGATTTCGTGCAATCTGGGTTCAAGTACAACATAACGCTGACAGAAACTCGGGGACTGTGAAAACTTGATAAGCTCCACGAAGGGCGAAATCGGTCGTGAGATATCGGAGTTTTAAGCAACCTCGGAGTAGCGTATTGCGGCTATACGGTTATTTATACTTTTTATTGTTTTTGTAGAGCATGGTACGATAAAGTATCAAAAAAATACGCGAGCACCTGCGATGTCGGAATAACAAGACCTATTAGCATGGTCCAAAGTTCGGTCACGTCGTATACCGTTGAGAATGATCACGCGATTAACTTAGGTGAATTATCTCAAACCATCTACAGAATACTCGGTGGGTTACTCGCGTTGCTGATCCACAGCTGAGACAGTCGCGAAACATCTACTTTACCCTGTATCATGCCGTCAAATGTGATTCGCATAAACTTTGAACTTGTCTTGGCCATGTGATACATACCGATAGACCAACTAAACCAACATACCCTGAGACCAAGCTCTGGCCAATGATATAAGCCCGCAATTTTCTTTCTTACTCTATCTTGATCACCGAACCGATATTAACTGCTCACGTTAAACACCACCATTAGTGTAACCGCTGGATGCGTTTTGGCCCGACAACAAGATCCCGTCATCCTGTGTTCACGATAATATTATCGAATACAAGCCAACAGCCCGTCATACACCGATTACGGAGTGCTGTTTGTGAAATCGAACCAGCCAAACGACTACGGAAACCATTACAACGTGTGGGTTAAAGCCGTTAGCATGATCAATGATTCATAAGAGCTGAATTTTTTCACTCAATCCTATTCCACTCGGAATGAACTCCGCCACATCCAAACTAACTAGCAATGAAATCCAACCCGGGATGTCAAACGAGAGAAGCCTTGGAAGAACAAACCTTTGAAAGTTATCATCCGGATCATCCAACAGCAGAACCAGAACGTCAGCATCAAGTGAAATACTTACTAAAAGTGAAGATTCGCAATTTTAAGATAAGCTTGGGGTCCTAATGGTTGGAGAAAAGCGTTTGGGGCAATCCGAACTTGTTTAAGGGTCTCGACTTTATGAAGAGAAGGCACATTAATACACTCACCAGCAAAGCAAGCTAGATGATCCATTGTATTGGACACACCGGAACTTGTGTAAGTACCAATGTACAAATGACCACCTTCGCTGATTTTGAACAACCCATGCTCATCTAACGCTTTGATACCAGCATCATACATCTGACGAGCTTGAGTATCCTGGCGATTGGTACGAATCCACTCTTTGAGAAGATATTCATAAAATGAATCACCGGTCCCGGAAAGCCCCGCCGTCGAGCTACACCACTGGAGCTGTCTATGATTGACATGGTTGAAGAAAGGTGTTTTCTGGTCTTTTAGCTCGTTTAGAATGTCACGGATACAATGAACCTATGGAATAAAATGAGCAGCCATGATATGACGAATCGGTATACGTTAAAAGTTTGAACTACACAAAATAATTAAGGTGAATTCTAGAAGTTCCCGAAAAACGTTCAAACCGAGGTGTAAGAAAGTCTCGGTTTCAAGTCGCAAAACAAAGTCTGGCTACTAGGTGCGTCAGGATAGATTGTTTTCATGTGAGAGAGTAGTCAGATTTCATACAGTATTTGGCAAATCGTTATTGCCTCAAACTGTGTCCCGCAGCCCGCAAATCAACATGTCGGACATACAGTTGCAAGAACGTAGGGGAGACTCAGATAGACTTTAAATGGGGACTAGAATGCTCCTTGTATGAACGAAAAGGCCGATCTGGGGGCGGACAAGTCTATTCTCTCACGCCATATACACTTGCATTTATCGATTCGAGTTCTCCCAACTCCGTTTTAATATATAACAATTACCACAAAAGCATTTTAAGTACGTGGGTTGTACCAACATTCGGCCCATTGTAGAAATCACGCTAACAGATAGCAACTACTGATTCATTGAGCAGAGACCCGATGAATCACGTGCGACTTGCATAACCGTGATGAGGAGCAGGCACCTACAGGAGCTCAGTTAGTAAAGTTCGTGGATGGTCTGTGGTTTTAGTTCACTTCCAGACTCGTGTTTTGCATACTCGGAATTCCCAATTCAATAACACGGAGCTGACGAAAGAAACCATTTTCCGCAGATTATCACCACGTGTTGAACTATGCTTGGTGAAACGATTTATATCCTGAGTATGGTTAACCACTACAGCAACAGTGTTACTTAGTCCCAGTTGATGGCATTACGCCACAAACTCTCCAAAAAAGCTATCGTGTATACTTTGGCGAAATATAAAATCAATCTAAGTATACGATGGTTCACGACTAGTGAAACCCTTTAATGACATATAGAAGACCTCCAAACAAAGTCATCCACAGGAAGTAACCCAACAGCTCACATTTGAAAAAAAATGGTCCCTCTTTTATAAGCCGTATGCTTTACTAGTCGGGAAAGCAAACAGTGGTAGAATTTCCCCATTTCTCATGGTAACATAATACACTAATGAAGTTATTACCATAGTAATGTCACCGTCCTTTAGAAGATTTCCTATACGACGAAAGTTACCCTGCAAACGGTATTTGCATGCTCCATGAAAACCATTGCCACCGTTGTACAACCATCACCTGCTGAAGTATCAATGACCGGATTTCAAGCAAAAGCTTGTGCCTTCGAATCTTCATCCTCAAAAACACCGGTGGCTAGTTCGGTATACTTTTGCATGAATGTTTCTGCGACAAAATTCAACATGCTGCTACAGTCATCAGAGAACGAATTTACTGACCGGAGGTCCGTGGTCAACATGCTGCTACAGTCATCAGAGAACGAATTTACTGACCGGAAGGTCCGTGGTTCGAACCCGACCTCTGCTTCTCAACTTTCCCTGTCTAGGCTTTGGCAACCTGGCAGTATTCCAGCCTTCATGATTCCTTCGGGTAGCATGGAAGCTGGACATCGGAAGGGCGATGCAGCTAAATGACCGGTTGAATATTACCCATTGAAGGGTTTATACGGAAGGACGGAGTGTATCATTCATGCGATACGACACAGTAGATATTAGAGTAAATGGTGGATCGCCCTTACCCGATGAATACATTAGTCCCACTGAACAACAAAACAAAAGCATCCGGTCTTTCGTATGATACACTTTCGATTATCTACGGTAATAAAATACAGGAGTAAACAGCCTGGCCCGATCGAACAGGAATGTAGGAAATTTCGGGTGGGCTTGAACCGTCAAATCGGTGCATGGTATTGTGTAACAGCTCGGAAAGGTACAGTTGAACATGAGAAGCGTAGCAGAGATAGTCCTACTAGTGTTTTTGACGGGTCCTTACGGTTAAAAAATTCAGTATTGTTGCACACAGTTGGTTTTCAGTAGCACAGTTTTCCCAGATTGTGCAACATAAATGTGGAAGATAGCCGTACGTATGTGTGTATGATCAAAGCGACAAACAGCAGAAAAGTGAAAAAAGGCGTCTGGAGATGCGGAAACCCGGTGGGCTTCCCGTTAAAATCAAACTGGTGTGCAAATGAGTGTATCTGCCGGTATGGGTCGAGTTTGTGAAACTTGAGTTCAGGTGAAACGTTAGGTTGACGGAAATTCGGGGACTGTACCTACCTGACGGAAATCAGGAAGGGTAAAACTTATCGTGGGATGTCGAATGGCTTTTAGCAACCTTGTGGGCAGTGTGTCGTGTCTACACAATATATTGCGATATTTTGAATATCGTACCAACTGAAACATTAGGCAACCTGGTAAAGCGCATTTAGTTGCAAAACATCATAAACGATAGACTCAGCTCGGCTTCAGACAAGTCTCCCATGAAAACCAAATTGTTATGCAAATAAGTGTATTTTGCATCAAACTAAATTTTTGGATAGCTTTTAGAACAGCATAAACCAGATACTCATGAACATGGTTGGTACTAAAACGGGGAAGTGTCATATCAACACACCTTTCAACGAAGTAAGCTAGCTAACAACCACGGTTGCACTCTGTTGTATACTTCCACTAAGGTTTCCATGGGTCTTTTTAGCAAACACTATGAGCAATAGAATTGTCTTTACCTATCGGTGTATTTGTAGAATGAACGGTTACTGGCGAATGTTCGTGATGATTCGCGGTGTTTTAGTATGCGGCATGCACGGTGTGATCAGGTAGATTTTTTGGATTTTGTCTTTACAGGAGTGTTCCCATTGTGTCAGCTGATGGAAAGAGGGGAAGAATAATCGTTATAAAGAATGAGGCTACATGGTAGAGATCACAGCAGACTTCTGTCCATTAAATTAGGTGTTAGGTAGGAGATCCTCCCGACCAACTGATGGTGAAAAGTTGTGCTACGCAAAACATCCTGTAAAGCAGTTGTTTGTCACTGATTTTAACAGCAGAACGCTGATTGGACGCTTAAACCTCGCCGGTCTGGGGAAAACAGAATGAGAAATGTGTCCACAGTTTCAATGTTCAGGAATTGTCGAAACAAGCTCACAAAGTAGCCTTACTCCCACCATGCTGTCTGGGGGGTTCGATCCGCGTTGTAGCGAATTTTAAGCAGTTCTATTCATTTTGTCACGGGAACTTTCCTCTCCCCAGCTCTTTTGAAAGTGACATGCTCCAAAGAGGTACATTAGATAATTAGGAACGATCGATTTTATTTGCTAATTCATCAGACACAGTGGGAGCGCAAAAAAATTCAGAATTGCTTGCAGATTTAACGTTGTAAAACATGAACGAATTTCCTGCAGTAACTAGTTCCGTTTCAACTATCCTAGACGGAATTTGTCAGGGAAAAAGGTGAATCACTTGACACGCCTGCTCACCTTTTGCGCATATATCGGGTCCCCAGTTAGTTCAGAGAGATATCTGAATTCCATATGGAGAGTTCCAACTTCCGCCAGCAGGGCACAGCGGCCGGCACTCCAACTAAACATCTGTCCCTTACCACTGGGAAAAGCAAAAAAGTATGTAAAGGAACAACGCCGCCAGAAGGATTGATAGTATAAACACAACCAACGGACCGTAAATCGACTATCCAAGGAATCAACTGGTTTTCAAACGGATGAATGTGAGCTAACTAGAGCGTGTCAATATCGTCTGGATAAGTTCTGTCAGAAAATTTGGACAACTTATTCTTGTTGTGGCGTTTACACTCAGCAACACTCCCAGCCAACCCCATGTCAGCAGTTCAACTGGGAAGTTATCGTTTGATAAGGACGTCTAGTTAGACTAGCGTCGAAGTCAGAAATAAATACAAGGCGCAGAGCAGTATCACTGTACAAAGCTCAAAACGACTCTTCATCACGACAGCATAAATGTTGAAGTGGGCATCTGAATCAGACCACGGATGGCAGTGGCTAGTGGAAGTGAGTGTACTTACGGCTAAGCTGTGAAGACGGTCGAACTTTGCACAGTTGAGCTAAGGCAACAGGTGTCCAAAAACCGAAAAGCAGGTTGCAAATGCTCATCCTCATTAACACTCATCAGCAAAGCTCATCTCTCGAATCCCAGGATGGTTTCAAACCTAAAAATATCCAGATAGAAGCCGAACATTGCCTATAAGCCAAAACCGGTCGGTTATCGATGTTATTGACAATGAAAACTCCATGATGCCCTTAATAAAGCTATAGTGTAAATGAAAGCTGAGAAGTCGCTCTATCTATCAGCTCGGACCAATGGTTGGAAGAGCTAAAAGGGCAGCCTCAACATTCATCAAGTAAAACTCGGTGATATTAAGGTCCGAGACCAGTAATCTATCCAACAAGATATGTGGGATGATGCTATTATCAAAGACTTGATGAGTCCGGAAAGAATGGAAGGGTCAGTGGAATTTGAGCTGAACATCAAAAATAGTGTGAGCTGTAAGAGATCCAAAGAAAGGATGGCATGGAAACACGTCGAGCTTGTCATATTATGAGGTACACTATGCGTATACGGACGGGTAACCTGGAGTAGTTGGGTTGACGCAACCTATCGATAATTTAGGAAAAAACATCGTTTACAGGATACAGTGACTGAAGGCTGGGACTAAGCTTCTTCGAAAAAAGCACCTGCGAAGAACCCCCATAGACCGGCATCCGCACAGGGTGTGGGTTGTACAATGATTGGAGACTCATTCATCAACACTACCTCCAGCAGCGTTGGGACACTAGCTATTCGTAACATCTCGGACACTAAACATTGATTTTTCATAGTCGAGTGAAAAACGGCTCAACCAAAACACGGTCAGATACAGCCACCGATATAGTGCCTGCGATGACAAGTGGTCAACCTCAAAGAAGGTAAGAATGGTCAGCCTCGTATTCGGGTCTAACTAATCAGTAGGATAAAAATGCACGTTTGATTGACACCATAAAACAATTGTTCGAACAGACAGTTGGGAGATTCAGAAACAGACGGTAGGTAAACCCTTCGAATTCGATTTGGATTATGTCTAGGTACAGTTCCTTCTATACATTCCAGACGACTTCTGCATCGTCTGCTGTAATCAGCATCACCACAACTTGTAAGGTTGACTTCACATCAAGAACAGAAAGAGGCAAGACCTAAAGGTGCTGACCGAGAGTGAGAAATCCAGTAGACTGAATGCGACTTGGTAAGTCTTGTGAGTCTGGTTACAAATGTCTGAAATGTCGGCCAACATACACAGCTTTCAGATTCGTAGGTGTCTCAAACCGATCTCCAAGCAGCTAGATGAGTGCCTCATCCGCTGAACAATGTATGGACACGGAAAACTTGTCATCAATATTGTGATCTACTCTCTGCTGAGAAAATCGGGTGCTAGCAGAGCGTAATGAGTTTCAAACAGTTTTCCATCATAAGTCAGGTGTGTTCAACGAAGAAATGTGTGGACATTATCCGAGTGAAGTAACTGGGTATCGCGAACAAAAGAATGGGTGTGATGATCAAAGGCAATGTAGTCAACGCTGTAATATGAGTAAAGTCACGCGAATTGATCTGAGGAAAGAAACAATGTCACGTATTATGGTAGCTCAGAGTATCAAAGGTACTCAAGAAATGGTGAGAGAGATCATGGGCGAGATGGCTCAAATGGTTAGAGCGCGAATATACTAACCGGAAGGTCCGTGGTTCGAACCCGACCACTGCCTTTCAACTTCCCCTTTCTAGGCTTGAGCAACCTGACGGCATCCCAGCCATCGTGCTTCCTTGTGGTAGCATGGTAGCTAGGCACCGAGAGCGTGCTGCAGTTGAACGACCAGACCAGAGGGAGATCAAGTAACCAACAAGTGCTGGCGTAATTGTTAACTGACATACAAATAACTCCCAATACGAACAGAAACACTTGTACAAGGTTACTCAGCTTAGATTGACTCTGTTCTGCATTATTAAATCCAGAAATACAACTGCAGTTTTTTTAATAGCTACAAAATATCTGAGTACATTATACAGAAAATTGGGGAATGGAGCTGGTGGACTAGTGTGTGCAAGAGAAAACAAAACAAAGAACTAGGAAGTAGAGATCTTTGGTTAGATGATCGCAAGTAGTGCACATCGGATGACTAGATTATCGAACCTAAGCCGCACATCCAACAGTACGGTAGGTTTTTTATATTACGACGGCGAAGAAGGCTCAACGAACAATCAGGTTGAAGTGGAAAAAGTAGTATCTCAATCGCATGACTAATTATCTGGTTGTTTGTCATGAGAAGTCCTTTGTACCGGCAAGTCAATGAAGGCTCTTTTCAGAAAGGTATTGCGCTTCCAATATTGGTATTTCAAGTACTGACTCATTTAACGATATGAAACAAACTCTTCAGCTTTTCTTCGTCAAGTGATCGCAATTCTAAGATTGTTCTTCAGAGTTATTATCATCCCTAGCACGGCTAAATATGACTGCATGCGCATGAGATTGTATTGGGCAGGCAGCATAATGCTCATAATAACTGGCGTTACAAAATCTACTTAGGTCTGCATACCGATTCCTCTAGGCTCGGCACTTCACCAGTCACACTGACCAACGGAGAACTTCATACCGCAGCCAGATGTACAGATAAGCCAGTCGCATGTCGAATTTACCAGGGTTTGTACTTTGAAGGTAATTTTGGCGGATCAATACAGACAAGCGAGTCGTATTGGGGGGAGGCTTCTCAGAGAGGAATGGCACTGTCTTAACAGGTACTAGAATAATCAAGCGAATGTTGAACAGAAAAGTTCGCTGAGTCGTCTAAACAATTGATTATTTGGGAATAATGAGATAACGGAATTCAGTACAAAGGCCCCGGTGACTCACGTTCTCAAATTGATCAGGCTCATAGGCAGCTTCGTTGGGGTCTCGAATGCTGGTAGCAAGCGTTTCGCCAGAAGTACAGCTTTATCCAAAAACACCTGTATGTGGAGAAGATCGGAATTGGGAAACAAATAGAATATCATTGTGGAAAACGGCATACAGAAAAAAACGAGTGAAGAACCCTAGCGCAAAGAACGCAAATGCCGGGACAGAACGTCCATGGTGACGTAAGCGGAAAGTTGAGATAAATCCTAATGACTTCTCAACGACACTTATACCCGGCGACGGGTTTGGAGTAGGACGCACTCATTGAGGTGTGATAATCACCCAAGTAGGTTGGCTGCGATTAGGTGTGTTTGTAAGTGGCTCCTGTAGGTCGCAGTCAACCCGGATTCACTCAACTAGTCAACATATGCAAACCGTCAAAAGATCGACATCTCCAGTAATATAAATAAGGGCCCGGTGCTAGTTTACCTCTAGGGGTTCATCACACAACCATTCAGTCTTACTACAGTGAGTGAGTGAATTCACGAAAACCTTGTAGACGTTGTCGGGACATATTTTTCTACTGTTTTTCATGTTAACTGCGTGATGCAATGATCCGGAGCCCAAAAACGAACAAACCACTCTTTAGTGACTTGCAGGTTAAAGAGACCAGTATTACAGCGGGATTCCGGACACAACTATATCAAGTGAAAATAAGGGTGAGATGCGACTGTTTCCCAGAAAAAGCATTACTTAATCAGCTTTTTTGACTAGACCTTGGCTTCGAAGACGTCTTTTTCAAGTGTTTAGGTATGTGGATTTGTGCACAATGTCCAATCAGTCCCCGAGTTTCTGTCAACCCGATATTCTACTTGAACCCGAATTGCATGAAATTCGACGAATACAGTCATTTGCATACCTATTTGATTTTCACGGGAGACTCATCTGAATCCCAGCTGATATTCTTCTGGGACAAGCGTCCATGATCATGTCGGCTACGTGCCTCATAGAATGCAAATTGACGCGTGTGTTTGAACTGGCCACCCCCTCTCTCTAAGTGACTCTCAGAGTGTTTTTATATGGGGATCGTGTTACGCGATTCACCCACAGAAGCTCCGTAACACAGACTAGAGAGTGCAGAAGCATGAGATTACTAGGTGCTTGTTAAACGGTAGAAAGCAGAAGCCTGTCAGGTGATAGGATAGGCTTTGGAACCCAATTTTGGCGCCCAGAACACAAGAGAACCCGTTGATCGGTGTGTGTGTGTGTGTGTGTGTGTGTACAGATACAAGCTAGAATAACAGCGTTGAAATACTGGCTTTTAGCTAAGTATTAGGTTCAACACTCTTGTCTCGTCCCACTAGTTAACAGCCAAGCATAGATCCGGACCAACAAGCAAACGGTTTGCGTAATCATGGCCTCGAAACCGAACCAACAAACAGCGTCGTTATACTAAGCACAAGCGCAATCTATCTAGTTTCGTTGCTCCTGAGGTGTGAATTTGTCCGTTCCAACGAGCTGTTCACTTATACGCGAGGTTGCTTTTTGTTCTACAGCCCGAATTCAGTTCACACATAGATACACAGACAAGCACCCATTTGACTGGCGTTGCTGATTTCCAGTGGCCAAGCTGTGTGGCCAGAACAACGCTGACGGAATCAACCTCGTGTGATTTGAGAAGCATTACAATGGATAGGAGATCGATATCTATAACATACCTTGTCTAGTGTGAATGTGTAGGCCGTCAGCAAACCACCGAGATAACGGATAGTGAACTCAAATACGGAAACCAGTGAGGGCTGTTGGTGAATGGTAAAAAGACGGTAAAAACACAGTATTAAAATTTCGTTCAAAGGAGAATCATTATTCACAGGGGATGAAGTATAGTTTGACAGTGATCAGAAAATCTCATGAATTCAGGAAGAGATGGGGTGGGGAATCCCTGTCTGCTAAGAAGACATAGGGCGTTCCGATCAAGAACCATTAACCCTAGAAGAAACTCTCTTAACTGTAGGCCAAGGAAAGGAAAGTACAGGATCATTGTGAAAGACAGAATAATTTCTAGCAACTCTGTAACCGACTTATACTGCACCAATTCACAAATTCTCATCAACCGCAAATGTGACGTGTGAAACGCAGACGAACATACAACATACTATCCGAAATTGGAAATTCAGAAAATGAGGTAGGGATGGGGCTGTCAGATTATGTTAGACATTCTACAGTCTCCATCATGAGACCCAGAGTCAAGGGTCGAAGTGAATTTCAGTCAAGTCGTTTAGAACAGCTTCGGCTTTTGTTTGGTTAGGAGTATGGCCTCAAGAACGGCAACTTTTCGTGATCAATTTCAAGGAAATTTTAACGTTAATCATGTGACCGAAGTGGATTAGGCGATCGTTTTCAGTAGCCTTGTTCTGGTCTGTCTGGCCCATCAACACGTGAGACATATTGATGCGTCGTTTTGCACGCGTTTCAAGCCTTTGTTTAATTCTCTCAATACAACCCGCGCCGTAAATATGGGTTAATGATCAACTACAATTTGATATTGGAAGAACTGCTAGAGGCATTTCGATCGGCGGTAACGGCATATTCCTTATTTGGCACAGCAATCTTGACTGTTCGATTGGGCGCGGCATTCACAGTTTTCTGGAGGCACCTGGTTGTAGCATAGTCCTGGTACGTTGGCTGGAGGAAAGTACATTTCTTTTCTTGAAATTGATCGCGACAAGTTGTCGTCCTTGAGGCTATACTCGTAACCACCAAAAGCTGTTCGACTTGACTGTAATTTGCTTTGACTTTGGGTCTCGTGATGGAGGCTATAGAATATTTAGCAGAGTCGACAGCCCCACTCCCACCTCGGTTTTTTAATCTCCAGTTTCCGATAGCTTGTTGCATACCCGTTTGTACTTCAAGTGTCCCAGGCTTTTGGTTGATAAGAGTGCGTGAAATCGCATCATCTCACTAAAATTACCTCCGTCTGATATCGAAAAACATATTCGTTAAAGGAACTGAGTGTTTCACACTGATAAGGCGGCAGACTAACGCTCAAAGTCGATTCCACTTGATTAAATGGTTCATAATTGCTTCTAAATACTAACAGTAGATAGGCACACGTGCCGAGAGTTTTAACCAACTTAAAATATGGTCACAACTGTGCTAACGAACTAAGCTGGCTCAATTAGTAAATGTAAGAAATGCCAAATGAAACTGGGCGCCTTCAGAATATAACCGAACAGGCCTACGCTAAGATTGTCAGTGAAGATTAAAAACCTAGAGAGCGCACATTCACAGGCAAGAAGATAACAGCAGTATCGTTAGCACTGGCGCTGACTAGCTTTCCCGCCAAAGTGAAAAGCATGCGTGGTCGACTTGACTAGGGTAACTCCATGGTTATTGATTGGGTGTCTGTTGACCAGTTCACCGAGTTGTAATCGTTTGGTCACTAGTTTCGTCACCATCCAACCGCACAATGATGTCTCTTCGCTTGCTGGCGAGACGGTTGCTGGTTAACTGTCAAGCTTGACGAACAGATCAACAGCCAGTTAGTCGACAACCATTAAGCAACATTAATATGAAGATTAGAATCGGCGTCTGTGCAAGGTGCATTTGATAAGGAAGCAGAGTAGACGAGTGTTGTTTGCATGCAGGAATGGACATGCAGAAAGTTACAAGTGGGCGAAAATTTCACAAACAACCGTAATTGTGCCAATGAAAAGGATACCGGAAATGTGACGCACCTGATCAAAGTTCAGTTCTTCCACGACGTAATTGCGGGCTTCATTGAACTCTTCTTCCAAGTTCATCATATATAGCGTATCCAAAGCATCAACTATAGTTGCTCCCATGGGTAGTGATCCCAGGACAAAAGGTTGATGCCCTGTCAAAGAAATAGGTTTCAGCTCATTGTGGCCTCTTGCATGTTTCATATACGACCGCCAAGCATGAGATGTCATCTGAAACAACGAGAGCCCAATAAATTGATTAGTTACGGTAGGAATCCAATGGATGGGATGAAAGGTTTTTATGGTTACGAAAATAGTCCCAGATAAGGAAAGATGTCGACGCTCCAGATATAACAGTTGAATCTCGAGATACAAATCCGTTGACCAGACACAGGCTCATCATCATCAGCAGCAGCAGCAGCAGCATTTTCGACAGCATGACACCAGTGTTCAACACTGATGCTTCGCTGCCGTACTGTTGTTGGGCTGGGGTCAAGGAGCCCACACCTGGACAGGAGGACGATTAGGGTCCTCAACCAAAGGCTTTGGCTCAAAAGCCGAACCGCAAGGCAGCGGTGCTTGGCGGGAGATCCAAATACATTACCATTTCTACGGTAATGCATTTCGCCACATGTCCCAACCTTCAACTTGGAGGACCAGGAGACTGTGTTCGTCAGACCTCTAACCATTGACCAACCTGGTATGAAAGACTGTGTCGCGAGGACACCCCCTCCCCAGTATAGCTCACTGGGTTGCTGAGGTACGTAAGCCGTCACACCACGGTAAGGTCCAGTCTCTTCGTGACGGACTATTCGAAGGCTGATGCTATGCCAAATTACTCACGGGGAGATATTCGTCAGTTTTGGTCATATGGGTTTAGTCAAACCGAAGGGTCTCAATAACCATAAATCAAAAAACGTTCGCTGTCAACGTACGCACTAAACAAGTTCATCTATCGAAAGGCGATCGATAAGGGTGACATACACTGCCTGTTCATTGTGGCACCAGTCAGCACACAAGAAGAACACAAATCATCCTCGTATATACGACCAGAATAAATAGGCATCTAGAGTGCGACACATTATTAAGGCGAAAACGAGGATGAATTTTGGATGAGTTTAACATCAGTTTACAACACATATGGTATCCAATTCCATGTAAGAAATCGCCTAAAATTCGGAGAGAACGATTCAATACCACGAACTAGCGAAGTTCAGGCACCAATAAAATCAAGCACAGTAACTCTGCAACCCGTATAAAGCATGCAGAATCAAACGCAGCCAGGTTGCATGAAGTGTCTTGTTTGGACTCTGCACTATCTATAGACAAAATCACAATCCATGCGCAATTTAACTTTGAAAGAAAAAAAGTCACTTAACTACTCGGAGTGAGCTCTAATGCCAGTTTCCAAAAGTATCTCAAAGAAGTTGTCTTCAAAAAGTTCCTGTCTTGATATACTGACAGAAGTCAACGAGAAACACGGCAGCAGCTCCAAACGGAAACATCATTTATGTGAACACCCGAAAAAGAGAAATTTTATTTTTGTTTCATTTTCATTCTCTGAATTCAAAACGGATAAACGTTTACCAACAACAAAAACAGAGAGAACAAGAGTGAGTGCACAAAGAGAGAATGCGTCAAAAGATGCTACGCGGGGATAGAGACACCGCTCAATTAAGTGATGTGAGTATGTAACCCAGTCTGGTTACGGAAGGAAAAGATTTGAAAACCATAGCTCGAAAGAAGAGAATGTTTGCCATAATTTCACACGGCTACACGGTTGTTTTGTCGTGAGAATAAAGTTGTTGACTTATAGAGTAATTCGATTATCCACAAATACATCCCAACTAGGCAAATCGTTCATCCCAAATGAGCATCGATCGACTTATAGGCATGCAGTTTATCAGAACAAAGTAAAGATAGATCCGGAAACATCAGCCACAGGAGGCATTCGTACACAGGGTTCATTAGATGGATATAGAATAGTATCGGCGTCACCACAATCATCGACAGCACAACAGCAGTATTTAACAGTGATGCTTCAATGTTTTCTCTCTGTCGTACCCCTTTTCAACTCTTGATTGTTCAGTGAAATCAATTCCCAGAAAAAACGGTTTTACGCAAGAAAAAAAACGAAATTGTGTTTTCACGTTCACCTCACTCCCGTCCACACACAAGCTATACGACTCTAAATTAGTCTGCACTCCTTTTCGTTAAAATGACTAAAAACAAGCATATATCAAAAGAATGCGCTCAAGCGACCCTCTGTAATGCTGGTCATTAACCAACAGCAATAAGTTTTTAAATTTGCAAAATCCGGAAAGAAATAGAATTACTTTGTGTAAATCTCTTACTGTAATCGGATAACTGTGTTGATGAGTTGCTTGCAGTCAGTCGATCGTTCAGTGGAGGTCATACAAAAGGCGTATCACTCTATTCCTTTTAGATGGTTCTGCAAACAAGAATTCGATTGCTTTCCAAACAATAATAGAACCCCACCCGAAAGACCTAAGAAACAGGCAACGGAGTATATTAACTCCAGTGTTTAGCAACACAGTTCAATTTGTTTGTTTCTTCTCTCTCTCTACAGGCAACGGAGTATATTAACTCCAGTGTTTAGCAACACAGTTCAATTTGTTTATTTCTTTCTCTCTCTCTCTCTCTGTGTGTAGCACTGGTCACATTACTTTAGAGCACGGCAATTAAGCACCAATACGTAGTACTGTTGTATTGCCGTCAATACTGTCAATACTAATAATGGTGATGATGAAGATGATGAAAGACAACGTTCCGAATTCCCGCTGCATCCATATGAATCGGACCATTCCCAGTAAATGCAACATAATTAAATTCCACATTTTTACATCACGTCGACAAGTCCAGCAACCTGACGGGAAGCAAAAAGGCCATCAAGTGCTCGCTTGTTACTCTTTTTCACAATTCAAAAGTGACCATTGCTCGGTAGCTACCGTGTAAATCATCAACGAAGAGGGCTCTGTCGGATAGCCTCATTTGAAAACGACCACCTGCCGAGGGAGTAAGTTGCTATGTGGGTTTATGGATTGAAGACTCGAAAAAGACACATGTTGAGTAATGCAGTGAAAACTGACAGTATAGCTTTTTGAACTGCATTCGCACACAATAAAGGATGGACATTATTACGGTAGGATCCAGAATAGAAAACGAGAAGGCATATCTGCATATCACCAACCGGCTATGAATGCATAAGCGCAATTTCGAACCGTCATACGACTTAAGTGGCAGCGAAAAATAGGTAAAAAATGCACATGGCGTCCCACCAAAAATTCCAAAATGCGCAGGAGGGTGGGTGGCATTTTCGTAATAGGCTCTTGACCTCAAGACTTTTAGTCCAGGTGTGTTACCCCCATTAAGCATGTGGTCCAACTTAACGTTATTTATGTGCATCGCCTGGTTGTGCGAAGCCATGCCACTCACCATCTTATCATCTTCTGGTGTCCTATTTAGCTCACCTGTCTTACGAAACTAATGTTCCAATGACTCACCTGAAATTGTACCGTCTGTTTGAACCGCGGCCATATCACTCTTGGTTAAAATATGGCAGCAAAGTTCGCGAAATACATGTATTCACAAACTAATTTGGTTTGAACGATAACATCATGAGGAATTCAACTAGGATTCGGTTGCGTCTACAATTAGAACCAAATTTATGTGAGAATGAGTGTATTTCACGAATGGCGCTCAATTTGAACCCAGATAGAACAACGTTGACGGCAGTGCGCCGACCTCAGGAGTTCCAAGATGGGTTATCGAGTTTTCGGCAACCTTATGAGCATTGTGCTCCGTCAAGGGCATGTAGTTCAGGAGCTGGCTTATAGAAAATAAATTTACGCATACGTCTACTGTGTAGATCGGCAAGTGAGAAAAAAGACAACGCGGTGCACACATCCTATGTTTCACTGTTCCAAACGTGTCACTGAGGGCTATTAACCACCTGCACCACCGACAGCTTATCTGAAGTAGAAATCATCTTCAGAGGCGACATTACCCCAGTTGAGGAGCACTTGCGTAAAGAATGAAAGATGCATCCTTCGTCCGGCCGCTTTACGATATTAACCTTGAGATTACAACCCAACCAAGTTGGTGATATGGTAAGAAAGATTAATTTTTATTCTAGCCAACCGTAGACTGATTTCCTGTGAATTGTTGAACTGTCACCCTAATTAGTCAACCTTTCCCGGGTTTGACAAAATCAACCACCTGTAGTTTTTTCACTCCTTTTTTGTCCCACGATTCATTCCAACGAAAACCCAAAATCGTTCCCAATGGAAAGGGCAAAAATTTGAGTAATTTTCTGCGCCCAATTCCCATACAGCCACACCCCATACCCATACTTGTTTTTGCCTGAAATCGCCACTAGGAACTTTCACCGCTTTTCATCAAATCTGCACTTCCAGAATGCAGGTTTTAGTGGTAGCCCCAGCAAAGTTATGAAGCTGCGATCTCACACTGGACCGATTAATCAGATACGATTCCGTTTCGATATCTTCTGTCATTTTCCCCCATACAATAAGGACTCACATGTCTTACAAACTTCAAACGTAGTTTCGTATATGACTCCATGAACCACCATCCAATTTCTGTCGATCAGGGTCCACTTCCTTCCAACAAATCTCATGTGATCCTGAGGATTCAGACGCTCATGCAGGAAGAGCGATATGCTGACCCGTGAGTCACGAGTGAAATCATCCTATCTCGACTCATTCGATCGTGTCCAGCATGCGCACCTCCTTGGTAAACTCCTCGTGATTGATCGGTACCCAAACCTGAATAGTAAGACCGTAGTTCCTTTAAAGTCCGCGTTATTCAGGTGCAGCATGATCAAGAGCCCAAAACACCACTGAGGACGTTGGTCATGAATCCATACCCTATCTCATACTTTTCTTCTCATTAACATCAATCATTAACAATTTACTATCGTCCCTTTTTATGACTCACCTTCTGGCATGCGCCTTGCACCTTCAAAGAACAAAGTCATGCAGTCTTCGAACATAGCCCCTACAATTCAAGGAGAATCGCTGGAGGTTGTGGAAAATTTTACATACCTCGGTAGTTATATTAGCTCTGACGAAACAATGTGTCTGATAAAGTTAGTACAAGAGTCTCAAAGGCTCGGATCACGTTTGCTCATTTGCGTCACTTGTGGCGCCAAAAAGACATACCACCGGGTCTTAAGGGTCTCATGTACCAGT